CTCTAAAATACAAAATAAGGAAAATTCATATAAATACATAAAATAAATATGTAACTCTACTAAAATGAAAGGAAAGTTTAAAAACTAGAATGTTGCATTTGCATTTAAATGCTGGATTTGGTCTTTTTTGAAAATTAGGATCATTTCAATTTTTTCTTAATTTTTTCAAATATATGAAAACCCATTACACTTAAACTATTAGTAGTTCATGTTATCTCATTATTGTCTGCCCATGATGAATATCTATCATACAGCCATTTAAAAAGTTATCACTGGGATCCAGTTCAAGTTAAAAACATGATTAATTTTATCACGTAAAACTGAGTGGTTATGGTTTTAGCAAAAATGTTTAGTAGTCAGTTTAATTATAATTCACATAATTATGTTTTCATTTTACAATGAAAAACACACATATTCAAAATATAATGGCTAATATTACCTTTTACAGTCACTATTTATGTCATCCACTGAGTCTTGACAGAGACAAGTGGTATTATCTCCAATCTCTCTCTCTGCTTCCTGGGTAGGAAAGGTGGGTGTTTAAACACACACAGGATTGAACTGGGCATTCAGAGAAGTAGAAAAGAAATGTCTCTTAGACTTAGGGATGGCAGGAACTTGCAACTTTCCCATTTTCATACCTGGGACATAAGACATAGAAATAGAACTCTGCAACAGATATTCCTCCACCCACCCACCCAGATTTACTTTACTGATACTGTGTTAATTCCTTGATGGATAATGCATATCACTGAGTTTTAAAAAACCTATTACATGTGTCTGTGTGTTATTTAAAACATTAATAGTGATATGCCAACAAAGACCTCAAAAAGTCTTGAGTGAATGGAAGCCAGTGTAGGCAAATTTAAAGTGAGCAAAAATGACAACAAATTATAATGATAGTTAGGAATGATTTACACAGAGAGGAGGGAGGGTGATGTTAGGTAGTATATAAGCACTAAATACCTGTCGAGGGATGTATGGTAGAAGTTGCTATGTAAAAGGAGAATAACATGTGTAAGCTCCTTATTATTAAATGTTTTTAAGGAAAACACTCAATTGGGAAAAAGACTACAGCAGAGGCCATAAAGAGCTACTGAGCTGGAGATTGCCCATGGGGGCAGAAGATGACTGTCAGCTTCCTCAGGAGAGATTTCAACACAAACATGAAGGACATGAAAGGACAAAAATTGGGGTTTATTGTCTACTCTGTGTCAAGAAAAAGTACATATATATAGATGCACAAATATATACATATGCATATATATATATGTATATATATATATGCCTTCATCTATATAGAGGATATCTATTATATCATCATAATATTTCTACAAGGTAGGCATTATCAACCTTAATTTTAAATTGTAAAGAACAGACTTGGAGAGATCAATAACTTACTAATGGTCCATAAGAAACAAGAAGCACAGACTGCCATTATTTATTGAGTGTTCTCTTCATTTTGCATATGAAAACAACAGAGAAGACAGAAGCAGTCAATTGAAAATCATGGTATCTTTAAATGCACAAATAAGAGGGTCAAAGAACAACTCATTTCCTTCATATATTTCATGTTTGCACTAATTGGAACCCATCTTCCAGTTTTAGTTCAAGGAAGAAGTAGGGATATAGAAGTAGGAATAAAGAAAATAATACAGATATATTTTCTTTGAGTGTTCCCAAACATCCCCAACACACACACACACACACACACACACACACAGTAAAAACATAATATTGCTAAAATATGTATTTGCCAAATAATTGGATCATCTATATGGCTATATAGTCTGGGACATACTATGGAAAAGGTTATTTGTGTCATGATTTTGAAAAGACTAGAAAGCCCCTCCTTCCAAAAGAATTATGTCCCATCCTCCCTCCTAAGACTTGAAATTCTATATTTAGACATTTATGCATCTTTTAATACAATGCATTCACTGATGAAATCCCATGTAAAGTAATTTTTGTCTTATTTTGAATGACTTGTCACATATTTCCAGAATACTGCTTTCTGTTTCTGAGAGAAACCTCTGATAGTGGACAGGGGATATAGTGAAAGAAAAGGACTTGGGGAGAAGAAATAAAGGTGTGGAAAATTAAGATTTTGTCATTCTTTTCAGGGCATATCCTGTTATATCACTTAACAATAGGGCATTGTGGGGAAATGACTTTCAACTTATTACATTATATTTGTAAGTGCAGCAATGTTGAGAGTTTCCAAGTAGTCAGTGACATGAGAGTGAAAATAATGAATGGACCTGATGCATCAGTGATTACATCTGCTGTCTACACTGTGATATTTCACCTTCATACCTAATGTTGCCTCTTTATCTTGCATGAATAATGAGATCTCTTGTCCTGCCATTCTGTGCATAAAATTACTTATACCAGAGGGGCAAAAAAGCAATTCTCAATCTAATCCGTTTTGCAAATTTGACAGTGACATCAAAGAGCAGGAAGTTGTCTATGAGTAATGACACTGCTCATTTGTTTAAATGTCAGACTTAAACCTCATCAACTTTCAGGGAATATGTCAGTAAAGAATGGATTTCAGTTCAGCTAGAGAGGATTTCAGCGTTACTCAGTCCTGAGGAAAATAGTTATCAATATCTTAAGAGCAGAGCACTTTGAGTACATCTTTCTTTTTAAACTGAATGGAATTGGTCATTTCAGCACTTGGTGCTGTGGATAGTAGTCTCTTCCTTGATGTTATGAAATAAGTAGCTATATTGCAGAAGTTTCCTTATTGAAACTAAAATATCTCCTAGGCTAGCAAACATGTACCTTTAAACTATGTAATTAGGACATGAAGACCATGCAGTCTGTGCAAATCCAGAATGAAATAAAAGCAGAGAGGAACAAATTTTGTCAGAGACTAAGTCTTAAATAAAAGTAGGAAATGGAGAGTTATGATTTGTAACCATTCCTGCAGAAATTGTCAAATTTTTATTGCAATGCAATAATATTCCTCTGTGGGTAGGTTTTTGTTGGAGAGAATGGCAAAGCCATTAACCCCTGATGGTAATTTATTAACAGTGGACTTAGATGCTGTGGAGAACAGGAAACACACTTAAGAGGCTTGCAAACAACCAGTGACAAAAATTAATTCTCTATGTGCTTTCTAATTCTGGAGTGGAATATCAATAGAGAAATCTGGACCCAAGGTCATAAGAAATAAAATGGAATCTGAATAATGATTCTTAATAAGTCATTTCCTATCTCTAAGACTTGCTTCTTGTATCAAATGTGTGTTACTTTTTGGTGTAGATGAGAAAGTGTATGTAAAGGGGCTGGCATACAGTAGCTATTAAACAGATGTTTAATTTTGATATTCACCAATCACTAGTGCTCATAGAATGCAGTACAATATTTCTATACTAGTGGCCTGTGTATTAATATTTGTAACCCTAAATATGAATGACAACAACAAAAAAAGGAAAACAAAAAAATCATTATCAGTGGGCTTATCCATATAACATATAGCCCTACTCATGTATATTTTCACCTCACCCACATTTTTTCATCTCATAAAGACTTCCTTTCTGCTAAACTTTAAAAAATCAACCAAAGAAAAATAGCCTGAAAGTAAAAAAGACTTAAGTTCTCAAAGGATTCTTATTTCTCTTATTACTTATTAAACCAATTCTCTCTAGAATGTCACAAACTCTCAGTCACATAATACTAATTACTCTGCCTGCTGAATTGGTGAGAGACTGCTTTGAATGCTTCCTACCCAGAATGATACACAAGGAGGAGAAAAGGTAAAAATCAGGTTAGTGCTGCAAGCTTGAGAAGTTCCTTGTCATCTTCCATTATAGCCATAAATTCTTCCCTTTTGACTTCAAAGCCTCCCAGTCTATCACTTCACTCTCCTCCTCCCCTTTGTATAACTAAAAATCAAGAACATCTTCTCCTAGCTTTTGCCATCTCCTCATTTCAATAGAGATTCCCTCCACACTGCCCTCTACATTTTAAAAGTCTCCCACTCTCCATTCATCAAGGTACAAGCTCCTTCCATTCACAATTCATGTGAAGTCTTCGCTGCTTTCTTAAGCTCCTTTTCTTTCACTGGATTCTCCAGCTGTCCTAATAAACTGTTACTACAGCCACCATATCACCACTGCATTCCCTCCTCCAGCAGAGGTGGGGAAGGGGCTAGGAAATAATTGCATGCAAACCTAGGTGGACACAGATAAAGAGCATAGCATTAAACTTGGTCTCAAAAAAAAAAAAAAAAAAAAAAGGCAGTTACAAATATTTCCCGAGCCCAGCAACAAGCATGATCTGAAAATATTATTTATTTATTGCTCGGGTGGATGGATGAATGAATGAATGTAATGATGAATGATTGCGATCTCGTTGACACTTTTGTCTCACGCCCCTCCTTGCTCGCTCCCTCTGGACTCCCATTTAATTCAGCTCTGGCGAGTGAGTGCGCCTCCACGCTTTGCCTCGGGCTCCACTCCCTGCCCTTTCGATACCACCTCCAGACACCTTCAACCCGCTCACCACAGGGCACGCTACCTAGTTCACAGCCCTTCCTGCTTTCAACAGTCACAGAGAGCGTGCTCCTCAGGGGCGCAGCTTTGCATTCTGCCAGCTTTTCCCCTTCCTGAAATCACCCCTCCCCCCAAACACCCAGGCATGTTATTCAAAAATAAGACTAATTTCCCCACACTCAACAAAATCCACAGGGAGATCCCCCGTCACTGCCCCTTTCCTGGAGATGCTAGCCTAGGTAGGTGCTCGCGAAAGAAACGTGGTTTCCAGCTTCTCCCGGCAGAAAAAGAAACAACCATTCCAGGGTTTGGTCCTGCTTTGCAAAATCAGAAAACTTTTTTTTTTTTTTTTTAAAGAAAAGAAAAGAAAACCCCCACCCCGAGAGCAACGACCTCTTTGTTTGCATCCCAGGGGGAGGGAGGGGTCTTCAGAACCTTTGCAGCCTGAAGTGGAGGGGACTTGACAGCCCTCTGGAGGGCTTCGGCGACCACACTCACCCAGGACGTTCCCAATAAGAGCCACCACGAACACGATGATGTACCCAGCGATCAGGACCCACTCATATTCTTTCGGGTGTAGGTATTCCCTCCACAGGTACCGCAGGAATTCCTCGTCGTCATAGTCGGTGGGGGTTAAAAAGGGCTCTTGAGTTTCATTCAGCTCCAAAGCGGATGACCAGTTGCGACAAGGGGGGGAGTCCTCCAATTTGGTGCCGGACATCACTGGCTTCAGTCCGGTTTCAGCTCAGTGCTGCAAGCCTCTCTTCCCCTGCCCCATGAGCACTGGTGATTTGCGTTGGGAAAGGCTGCGCGGAGAGGCGAGAAGGGGCTCCGGAGCAGAAAATGACGTGAAAAGTTACTGAGCCAATGCCTCCGGACTCTTATGCCCGGCAACTTCTGCGGCGGCTTTGCTGTCTTCACAGGCGATTTTGCACCGGGAAGAGAGGCTGCCGAGGAGCTAGGGACCCGGCACTGGAGGCTGCTGCAATGACACCAGGAGGAGAAAGCTACCTCGGGTTCAGTTCAAGCTCAATTACTCTCATTCCAGCACCGAGTCCGCAACCCACAACCTCCTCCTGCGCTGAGGGAGAGCTGCAACTGAAGTGGGGGAAAAAAAAAAAAAGTAATGAAAATTATTTTAACTTGTTTTTCTGTGGGTTAAATCTCCTCTTTCCTACTTTCTTTCTCCATTCCCCCCTTGCAGTTTCTATAAAGCACACGCAGACATATGTGGGTCTGTGGACATGACAAGCATATCAACACATGGTTAATATTGGCTTATTGATGCACTTGACTTTGTAATGTAAATATGAAAGTAATAAGGAGGAGCCACTGTGTTCCTCAAGTAGGATTATGCAAAAGTCATTTCAGGCAATTATATTAACATTATTTGGCTTTGTCATCTCAGCCCTTGCTGAATTTTTAAAGGGATCTCCTCCCTGGCCCCCCTCCTTCACCCCACTTCGACTCCTCTAAACTGGAGAATGAGACCATTTTGTGAACTGAAGGATATATTTAGTTGGAATTTGAATTTACAACAGCAAGTATCATATGAGATACAGTAACCAAACCTTGAAGGACACCAAGGGTCATTAATGTAACCTTACTTAATACTGTTAAGCAAAAGAGACCACAGACATTCTAGACAGTATTAAACTGATTCTCAATAGGATGGTGTAGTGGTGGGAGCAGAAGTCCTCTCTTCTCACTGGTTCGGGACGGCTGTCACCTGCCATTCTCTTAAGACTTGATATTTGTCTCTAGGAATGGTATTTTGGGATTTGTCATTGTATCAGTTCATGATCCTTTTCAGGCTTAATAACCATAATAAGAATATTGAGTTTGATTGATTATAATCTTAAACAGGGAAAGGGTCTCAGAATCAGCTAGCCTACAATTCAATTTAATGTTAGGAGCCTTCTGATAACTTTGCTAGTTTGGGTATTACATCACAATTCACTACCGCCACCACCATGAGACTGCTCTAAACTGTTCCTGACTTTAAAATAAGGTCTTATACTAACATTTGTCTTTCTCAGTTTTTACCCTCATCTCCTAGTTTGCATTTGGTACTCATGGAACAAATCTTTCACATGATGATTTTTCACATATTTGGAATAAGCGCTCATCTGCCCCCCTCCACTTTTTTCCTACAATTTCTATTTTTTTTTTCACATGACATCATTTCCACAACCTATATTCCCTGGGTTTTTCTTAAGACAATTGTCAATATCTTACATAATATGCAACTAGAAGGAAATACAGTAATCTAGTCTTGGTCCTGCCAGAACAAAATGTACACTATTCTTTGGATGCAGCCAATGCTTATATCTAATTATTTGTTCAATAGTCACAACATATTTCTGTTTCATAATAAGCATTTAGCCAAATGTCCCATACCCTCACCCTCAATCCTTATTCTTCACATTTGTCTTGTACTTTACAGTTTATAAAATTCCTTCAAACAGTAATGTTTGAATATATATATAAATATATGAAGATGTATATTTGAATATACATATATGTAAAATTGGTTTGCAACAGTGTATATGACTAATGTATATGATCAGGGATAGGATCAACCCCCTTCAGGGTATGTTATCACAACACACACCCACTACCAGGGCACCCACAGTCCTCCAACATAGTCCATTGAGCACCCTCCACATTTTGCTTTCAACTTGTTCTCTCACCCTCAGCCAGCCTCAATTCTACAGTCAGATTTCTAGGAGTTTTTATTGGTTTGGTTCTGTCTGAACCTTTGTTTTGTTTCTTCATATTCCATATATATGTGAAATCATCTGGTAATTGTCTTGTTGCTTCTGAATTATTTTATTTAGCATTATGCCCTCCAGTTCCATGCACACTGTTACTAATTTCAAGAGTTTTTTTTTTTTTTTTTCAAGCTGAGTAGTAGTAACCCATTATGTATATATACCACATCTTTTTAATCTATTTATCTGTCTTTGGGCACTTAGGCTGTTTCCATAAATAAGCCATTTTAAACAGTGTTGCAATGAAGAGAGAAGTGCACTTATCCCTACAAATTAATACTTTTGAATTCTTCAGGTGGATACCTAGAAGTAGAATTGCTGGATCACGTGGAAGATCTATTTTTAACATTTTGAGAAACTCCCATAGTGTTTTCCACAAAGGCTGGACCAGACTTCATTTCCACCAATGGTCACATACAGTATTTTAAAACCCTAAGGGGTTTTCTATTATTGGCCTGGTTTATAGGGGAGAAAAATTGTTCCTGAAGAAAAATGATTTATGAAAGGTCAAATGACAAATCAGTGGCAAAAACATCCATTTCTTCTGAACCCAGCATGATGCTTCGGTTATACTAACAATGTCATGTTTCACAAGAAATACTATTCTTATGTTTTCCCAATCTGAACTAGTGAGTCTTTTAAGAGAAGGGAATTAATAGGAACATAACTGCTTGACAAATGCTTACTTAGTGGTTCTAGTTTACTCTTAGTGATATACGTTAAATAAGGTTGCTCTTTTCATGCATTTTAATTTTCAGTGAAGTTAGAGAGAAAAAACTTCAACTAATAAATATTTAAGAAAAATATTGGGAAGGAAGAAGTGCTGTGATTAAAACTAAATAGGGTGGGCCTCCCTGGTGGCTCAAGGGGTTAAGGAGCAACCTATGAAGCTGTCCCCAGCAGCTGCAGCACAAGTTCGATCCGCGGCCAGGGAGATAACCACATGGCTCAGCAGACCTCTCCTGTCTCACCTGCCATTCCCCTCAGCAGTGTATTTCAGTGGATCTGCCTATTCTGTTCCTTGCTCTGTCTCTGGTGAATTCTCTCACCCACCACACCTCTGGCCTGTATTCCAGTTCTTGTATGCATAAGTAAATAAATCTTTAAAAAAAAAACCTAAATAAGGACAAGGGATGGTGATTGGAGAAGTCTAAAGGCCTTCTTATAAAAGAATGGTCAAAAAGCTCTCTGTAAACAGGTGATGTATAAGAAAAAAAATCCAAATGATATATGCATTATTAATTTAATTTTATTAATATGAGGTTTAAGCAGATCTTCCTAGATGATGATACTATTAGCCAAAACATTAGCCAGTTTGCCAGACCTCTTGTCATCAGTAAATTTGACAAGCAGGACTTCTGTGACTTCATTTAAGTTTATTGATAGAAATCTGCTAATTTTATCCTGTGGTATAATACATTCCTCTGATTTATCATATATTTTATTTTCTTGTCCATATACTTTTCTTTTCAAAATGGGAAGGTGTTTGCAACCTTAGTTTCAATCTATATTCATTAATGTCTATAAATTCCTTGCCATCATCACTCTTTACCAAAAGTATAAATAAGGGAGAAATGAAAATATTTTCGAAATTTTGCTCTAATATGTGCTTTGTTTTGTGACAAGCCTGTATTCATTTTAATCCTGTTTTCTTCTGTCCATGATTTATCAGGTGATTTATTTTATCTTCTTTTTTTAAAAAGATTTATTTATTTATACAAGAACTGGGGTATAGGCCAGATGTGTGGGAGAGTGACAGGATTCACCAGAGATGGAGTGGGGAACAGAACAGGCAGACTGACAAAATACACTGCTGAGGGGAGCAGCAGGTGCAACAAGAGAGATCTGCCGCGCCATGTGGGACCCTCGCCGGCTGGCCGGTATCCAACTGGTGCTGCAGAAGCTGTGGACAGCTTCACAGCACTGTGCTCAACCACCTGCACCACCAGGGGAGGACCAGGTGATTTATTTTAAATATATGGTACTGCAATGCCATACACAATACTGCAATCAGATCTTAAAAATATTGTTTGTTTTCCTTATTGCAAGTACATTGAAGATACTGAATATTTCAGTACTTATTTTTGATAGCATCTCCTTCCTTATATCTTTTTATACTTTTTAGGATATTTGGGTAAATTTTTTGTTTCTGTAGAGATTATTATTCTCTTCCAGATCTTTCTGCTAGATGTAGAATAAAGGAGTTATCTAAATATCACAAAATAGTAGAGAAAGTTCCAAATTTAGTAATGACCTCTTAAGGTTGTTATAAGAATTAAATGAATTGACAATTTTAAAACCATGTCTGGTAAGCATACAAAAAGTTACCTGAAAATGTTTACTGAATTAAATAACAAGTAATATGACCTCACAATATGAGTCTTATTTGTTATACATGTCAATTACTATATGTGGTTATTTTTTAAAGGAAACGCAACACAATTCTGCCTAACTAGTCACCTTAATTTTTTTGTCATTTTTATTTTAGCTCTGCCCACTACTCTGAATATATTAATAATAAGACAGAAGGAAAACAACATTAGAAACCAGAATTTTTTTCTTCTGTCAATGGGTACAGTTGGTTGTTCAGAGATTTAAACTGTATAGGTTGTCCTAGATACTATATATGACAAAAGAGGGTTCCTGATGAGAAACCTCTTTTTCTGAAGGCCTATAATAATGTTATAGATCCATTTTAATAAAGACCTATGTGTCAACTATGCAACCAGGAGTTTACCTAAGAGTTAGGGGCATAAATATCAATAATACATAGTCCTACTTCAATGACCTTATAGTCCACTAGTAAATTGGAAGTGTTATTATAATATAATAACTCTGTTAAGTTTCCAAGATAGAGAGATGCATATACTATCATAAGAGCAGGAAAGAACACCAAACTACACCTGGGGAAAAACCACATGGATGGAACCCCCACACAGAAAGTCACTAGAGCTGATTCATTAAAGAGGAGAACCAAGGGGTTAAGGAGCAGTGGTGTTTAGGAAGAAGAAATAGCATTTTGTGAAGCCTTAAAAGCAGGAGAAAACATGGAGTATAAGAAAGTAAAGTGAGCAAGATCAGACTTTTATAACAATGTCTGGCAGTGATGTCAAGAATAGATAAGGGGACGAGAAAAGAGACAAGTATAATGATCCTGCAGGAGAAGCAAGGTAGTGGTTGTGGGAATAGATGGATCTGGCTATTACTCAGAACACAAACATGATGGTTATTACTTCCTGAGGGAGGCTGACTGCATGGTAAGAGTATGTTTGACATTCATTTTCTGTTTCCCTGTGCATTTTGACGAATGAATTGTTTGAAGAA